AAATATAGTATTAAACTAGTACTTCATATTATATAACTTGTTTGACATGTAATATACTTATTGGATAAACGGACAAGCAACCTGTATTTAGGAATATTTCACTTATTCTTGTCTTGGATGGTCAATCTTACGTGCATAATAATCAATTTTACCTTCACGACGCCTTTTGAATTTGATTTGATAACATTTAAAGTATTGTTTATTTTTAACAACTTTCACAAAACCCTATAAAAAGAAAGTTAAATTAGTTCTTTTGAAGCATGTACTATTGATGAAAAAAAGAAGAGAATAGTAAAGTTTGTGTAAATTATATTCATAATTAATTAAATAAATATATTATTGGTATATCAAATTAATTCCACAATTAAACAATATCAAACTATATACAAAGTGTATAAGAGACTGACATTTACGATAATGTTTTTTCTAAATTTTTCAAAAATTTTTCCCATATGTTTAAAACAATATTATTATGAACCCTACAAGTTTCTGACAGGTAAAATTTCAGCTATTCGACAGTCATTGAATTATTCAGAATAAGCAGCATTCTTCACGATTCTTTTTCACAACTGATGCATTTTAAATCCAAAAAATCATGATTTTTAATATAATGACATTAATCATATAAGTCTGCTAACCATTTTATGAATTAAATAAGAATTCAACGATAATACAACACTTATTCGCCGTATGTCAGGAAGATGAAAAGAAACGTATACCACTGATACCAAATAATACAGTGAATTTACATTATGTTGAATCTCTTTAGGGAATAAGTAGAAGCAATAACAAGGACAAATTTCATTCTAGAATTTATACTTTGTATTAGATTTTTATTACAAAAAAGGAGCTCATTTATAAAATATAAAAATAATATATATAAAATATAGAGTTCAAAATTAATACAATACAGGAACTAGGTACAAGTGTGAAAAACACATTTATCGCCATCTGCAAACTTAGAGTGGTATTAAAAAAGAATACATTTCAATAAGAATTGATCGCTTGTATTATCTGTATCATAGGAATGAACGAAATAAAAGTTTTATTATCATTTGAATTGGTAATTGTATTTACATTGTATTTAGCATTTAGAAAAATTAAGTGTTTTTAATAGACTGAAAAAGTAAAAAATAAAACTTTCATAAAATCTATATTTAGAACTAAGAAAATAAAAAAAAAAACTAAATGTTTCAATGTTTATTTAATGATCAATGATAAAATCAATATAAACGTAAAATATTTTTTAATATTTTCGATTTGTAAAAAGAATTGCATATAATTCTTTAATATATTAACTAGATAATAATTGAGATGTTTTATTTATGAGAATGTTATTTTGATAAGAGTAGTCTTGAATGACAGACATGCTAGTGTACATGTAATATTTTTATTTAACATTATAATGAACAATTTTTTTTAAAGATACAGATGAATATATGCTATATGTATATGTGATATTACTTAATAGGACTCATGTAATGACCTGATTGTTTTTATCTAATAACATTTACAGAGCGATGTGTATGTTTTTACTACTTTTCGAAAATGAAGTTCCAAAAAATTTCAAATGAAAAAACTGTATCTAATTTATACGAAAAAAAGATAAAAGTATTATTATAAAAAATGTAAAAACATTAATAAATACATTGATTATTGTATTCCATATTTCATAAAAGTAGAAATAAAAATTCTTTTTTTGAAAGTTAATCGACTTTCAAAATAACAATTTAAAACACATCAATGTGAATGTCTTATCATTGTTTATTGTCTCATTCTCTATTTTAAATAATATATTATTATTATTATTTGGAATCGGTTTTGTTTTATTTTTTATCCAAATTATCGTGAATAAAATTTAAATAATTAAATTATTATGATAACATCAGATCAAATAAATTACTTTCGCAATATTCGAAAAACTCGAAATAACTTATTAATCGCACTATATATTTTGTGTCCGTACAAATTATAACAATATTGCACTAATTTCATTCTCGAAATGAAGAATTCGATACATACATATCTTTCTCTCTCTTTTCTTTTTCCTTTAGCAAGTATATTAAGATTTTCTTTCTTGTTAAAAATTGAAATAATTTTCTAACAAGAATATTTATGAACGCGTCAATATAAAATTCTTTTTGAAGCGTCCAAGTACGTAGTGCGACAGATTAATTGGACTTAATTATACTTTTCTACGGAACAAAAGACTTATTTGTCGACATATACGAACGAATTTCATTATGATTATACTTAACAATACATTAAAGTTAAATAGATAATCAGTTCCATACGTCAGCCGTTACGAAGCATCGTGCTTCTTATCCTCAACGTCATCTTAAAAATTATTTCTTAATACGTTAATTGATTATATTATGCTAGAGTTATAACTCATCGCTGTTATAATACTTAAAAATTAGCAATCAATTGACATATACCACGTGATTCATTTTTTCTTTTCTTTTCTTTTCTTTTTTTTTTTTTTTTTTTTTTTTAACACTGGAAGAAGCAATCGATGCTTTATGTTTCACAAGATACGCGCGAACACAAAAAGAGAAACACTTTTTGAAGAGGCACCAAGCGATTATACGATTCACATGTTTATTTTTATTATAAATAAGAGACCAACGATATTAAGCGGACATACTTATTTGTTACTTCAATAAAATTAAGAAAAAAACAAATGTTCCAATCAGAATCATTTGTCTAAGAACTATGCGACCTAACGAGAAATAAATATTTATAAAAAACATATTAAATGTCGAGAGCAATGATATATTAAATATTATTTATATAAAAATAAAAGCGAATAAGACATGAGATGAAAAAAAATGGAAGAAGAAGAAGAAATAAAAAGAGAGAAAACCGAATGTATTTTTTGGATTTGGAATTTCGTGTATGTATATATATATATATATATATATATATATACATAAAAAGTATTAAAATGCAATGAAATTAATCGAAATACCATATAAGCAACATTTACATAGCAACATTTACAAAATGAAAGAACGTTGTTTTTCATACGTTATCAATCGACCTTCACTGTTTTCTCTCTTGCTAATTGTATCTTCTTTTTTGCATTTGTCGATACATGTGTGACTCATGTGTGACGTTAGGAAGCTACGAAGATATATATATATATATATACATATATCTAAGAATAATAATTATAATAATGATGATGATGATAATGATGATGATAGTAATAATAATAATAATAATAATAATAATAATAATAATAATAATAATAATAATAATAATAATAATAATATTAATAATAATAATAATAATAATAATAATAATAATAATAATAATAATAATAATAATAATAATAATAATAATAATAACAATAATAGTAATGATGATGATGATCATCATAATGATAATGATTTGTGAAATATATATACATACATATTTATCTATATCGCGATATAATGAAAATGCTGCGATTTTGAAATATAGGTAATGTGTGCGCTAATCGTAACAAAAGAATATGTTGATAGAACGAATGGCATGTATGTTCACGATAATTAATGTTTAAAAATAAAAATTATTTTTATTTTGTTTTGTTCCAATATTCATAAAAGCTTTGTAAAAATTGTATTCAAAGTTTTAATGGCCGCTCATTTTCCAAGCAATTCGTCCTTTCACCTTTTTTTTTCATCGAAGTTTTACAACTTCCTTCCATTCATACTGCATTTACGCATGAATTCTAAATCGTAAAATTAGTACTATACGAAAGTATTCTTATATAATTATAATAAGATTATTTCACATTATGCCCGTATTAGAATTATTATATTTATATGCGTACATTTTTATGGTGGCAGTGTGTTTTTAGTTCTCTTCTTTTTATGTTTTTTTTCTTTTCTTTTCTTGTTAATATAGCGTAGGTAGTGCAAAATTCTTATCACAGTGATACAATATTATTTGGTGCCGTAGTCGTATTATTATGATTTCTGAAATCTTAAATATTCTCTTGTATGTACCTGATAATTCTTTTGTGAAATCATTTTATATGAATGATGCTTGTCTCTCTATCTGTTCTAATTTTTATATCTTTCTCCTTTATAATGTATCAAAATATTGATAAAATTTAAATTTACTATTTTTTTTTTACTTTTGTGCGAGAGTCTGTATTTTCTTGGCGTCAAGAATATTTAAAATATTGCAATAAGAAATTGCAGTTGGCAGGAATTTAGTAGAACTTCGATAGTAATAGTAGTACCGTTCGAGTCTACGACATAGGCGTTTGTCGTAGAAAATGCAAGGCGATTTAATTCTAATGTATATCGTCTCTATGTACGTATATATATATTATAATATATATACCTATATATAATGGACAACTTTAAGAAATGTTAAGGAACGATAAAATTACATTAAATAAGTATCGATGTAAAAATTACAAAACTTGAGCAGCCTATTGTGCGTTAAATGTATATTATTCGTGTTTCTTTATATTTTGTGGCTGTTGTAGTTTAATTAATATATACGTGATTAATATATAACACATACCTGTATCGTGAAACGACAAATTATTAATCGTAACAGACTGACATCAGTCTTATAAATCGTGGCAAGAAACGAATGCCCGTTTGAGTTTAAACTATTAGATTAGTTAGTGTGGAAAGAGAAAGAAGATTAATATACGAAGTTCATACTCCTACGAATATTAAAAAACTTGACACCCCTCACCCCTCGGAAAGGAGGTGAATAAATTATTCTCAAAAAGAATCAATACACTTCTCGAGGTAGTGACGCAGCTTCCTTCGAAGAAGCTGCACTGTCTATTTTAGGATCAACAAAATTTGTTTTGCTTATATATGTATCTCTCTCTCTCTCTCTCTCTCTCTCTCTCTCTCTCTCTCTCTCTCTCTCTCTCTCTCTCTCTCTCTCTCTCTCTCTTTTATATATATATATATATATATATATATATATATATATATATATATATATATATATATATATGGAAAAGGAAATAAAAACATCATAAAGAGAAAAAATTAAGAGATACATAGGTATATCTCATATGTATGTATACATGTACATACATATAGTCGATAATAATTTTGCAATTTTGATAATTTCAAATCGTTATCAAAATGGACGCACGTGTGCCTATTTAAAATCTTATCAATCTCGAAACATTTGATCGAATCCCTTTCGCACACAATTTGTGCTATACTGTTATAATTCGTACTTTTGTTTTTGTACTCTGTACGCGTTTAGAAGGCAACGTGTCCGACGAAGGATTGACTATGATTATCGAAGACACTGAATTTTTCTGTTCGTTCGTTCATATTATGCACTCGAAAGAGTTCACATGGAATATCACTAGAGTCTTTTCGGAGGACGGTGCCATCATTTTTTGCGAATAGAGTTCCATCGGTTTTCCTTTATTTTCGTAGGAATTAACCGTATCTGACTATGAGGCACGTGCAAAATGAATAACGGAACTTTGCCTTTGAGAGCCAAGGAGACTTGCGCTTCTCTCGCTTTCCATTGATTCGAGAATCATCTTGCAACGTTTCCTTGGTGGTAAGATCAAAGTTTCCCTGACAGGTATAGCAAGATCGAGAGGATCTGGCGAAGGTGCTGGACTGACAGGATTGCTGCTCGGTGGCGTAAGTATCTGTTCCTCTTTTTTCACGTTCATTCCGTACTCCCGTTGTCTCTCTTCCTCAACAGCCTCCAAAGCTGCCTCGACTCTTCTACGAGCATCATTTCCGGGTAGATTCAGCAAGGACGGACATTCACCGACCATCGGTTCAACTCCTCTGTTTGGAAAAGCAAACTCGGTTATTGGGTAAGGACTTGAGGATATGTCGGAATAAAGGAAGACATGAGACTGTTGTTCGAGGTTGACAATTTGATGAACCGATCTTTCTTCGACTCCTGCGTTTAACAGACCCATTGGACCGTTTATCGAGGAAACTGATTGAGGATACTGTTCTCTTGGGAAAACATAATACGAGAAATCCCGTTGATTTGGATAAACTTCGTTCGGGCTACATGGGATATTCTCTGCGTTCTTACGCGGAAGTTCTTTGTTGTTTCCGCCACAGATCGGTATTGGTGATGGTGCGTTAGGAGCGACGGAGTTACTCTGTGAGATCTCCATGATCGATTCGATCGGCGACTCTCTGGCGGAAGAGATTCCGCTGGATGTTGAGGACGAAGAAGAAGAGGACGAAGATGAGGAGGATGAAGATGAGGACGAGGAGGATGAGTCTGAATGTGTTTTTATATGAAGCTCCATCGTTTTTTTCGAGCCAAAAGTTTCGTGACAGAGGGTACACTTGTAGACTTTTTCACCATAATGTGCTACTTGATGGAGTTTCAATACGTGATTATATCCGAAGGACTTTCCGCATATATCGCAAGTATAAGGCTTTTCGCCGGTATGGGTACGAGTATGTACCTTTAGCTGCTTCGAACAGGTGAATCCCTTGCCGCAAGACTTACATACATAAGGTTTTTCACCGGTGTGTGTACGCATATGTATTACCAGCTGGCCGCTTTGTATGAACGTTTTCGAGCAAACTGTACACTTGTGTGGACGTTCGCCCGTGTGGATTCGCATGTGACGATGGAGTTTGCCGCTATGCTCGAAGGCACGCTCGCAAACATCGCACTTGTATGGTCGTTCCTTCGTATGTATCCGTCGATGAACGCTAAGATTTTCCTTCACAGAGAAGGACTTGCTGCAGTATTCGCACTGATAAGGCTTCTCGCCCGTGTGAGTCCTGTAATGCCTGGTCAAACGTGCAGGTACCGCAAATGTTTTCTCACAAATATTGCACCGATAAGGATCCTCTCCCTCTTTACCGTGCGAACGCAAGTGACTCTGATACAAACTTTTTTGATCGAAGCTTTTCTGACAGAGAAGACACTGGTAAGCCTTCTCCTCGTTCGAGTTTGTCAGACTTTCGACGGTAACAGCAGCAGTCGTGGTACATGTCGTCGAGCCGAAGACCGGAAGGTCCGGGCTGCAAACAAGGTTCTTCACTGGGTTCATCGTCTCCAAATTTGGCAGCACGCTCGTCACTGATACCGTCACTGGATTCGGGATCGGCTCGGTTTGGTAATAACTCACCATCGTAGATTACTACCGTGTGCGCGGCCTGCGGAAGAGATGGAACAATTCGATTTATTCGACTTGAGATAAAAAAAATCTTCCTTGAATGTCCGTTTAAAAAAGATAAAAAAAGAAAATAAAAAATGCGTATGCTTCTAAATTCGAAATAAAAAAGAAATTACAAAATAATGAGACATCGAATGGAGAATGGAGAATTGTTTCAAATCGTGATTGATATATTTCAATTATTTCATCGATTGAAGTAATTAGATTTCAAAAGGATAGATCGGAGAAGAAGGAGAAGGAGGAGGGGGAGGAACAGAAAGAGGACAAGGAGGAAAAGAAAAAGGGAAAAAATAAACAATAGAAAGGAAGAGTTAGAGGACAAGCTTAAAGAATGTACACGAGTGAAGAGAATGATAGACGAGGAGAGTCCGTTTATACTTGGGCTTTACACGCGCGCGTCGTTTTTAGTACGATAGGAGGCAGCAGTCATGGTCGGCGGCAGTGCAGTGTGCGCCGCCGGTAGAAACCACTCGCTGCTGCCTCCACGTGTACTCACATTTTCTTATAGCGATCACCGACCTCGTGCAACTTGCCGCGCAGTAAGGACGTCGGGTTACATCACGAGTACTATATACGACACAACTAAGAGTCGTATTGTAGATTTATGCTAACGTATCTCTCATGCTACTAGTATCTTTCTAACCGGACGCTAAAAAGGACCACGGACAAAAATTGTATCGATCGGGCGACAAATAAGCAAAGTACATCATGCTCTCTCTCTCTCTCTCTCTCTCTCTCTCTCTCTCTCTCTCTCTCTCTCTTTCTCTCTCTCTCTAAAGTTCACGGACAGGGCCGAATTATCTCGACTGTGCCATCCTCTGCGTCCGCCGTTCTTTCCCTTCTTTTCTACCCTTCCATCGAAAACGTCTCTTTTTTTGCTCTTCTGCTTTTTTATTTTTCATAGTTACGTATATTAAAAAATACATAAGCTGAATCGTTCGAATTTCTTCGACTCGTCGATATTTGATACTCTTTTTTTATCACTCTTACCGATTTTTCGATAATTTAAAATCTTTCGGAAATTTGTAGAATATCAAAAAATTTCAATTTTATCAAGAAATAAGGAAAGAGCATGTGAAAAGAAGCAATGAGGATAAACATTAATCTTTTTTCAAGTATTTAATATATACGTGGTGCACGTAAATTCGTGAGGATGATTAAATTAATCGGTTAAAATTTATTAAAACAAAATTATAAAAACAAGAAATAATGATACGTTAATAACGCTCGAATCAAGGAAAGGATTGTGTTGTATTCAATTTTTGAACAGTAAACGATGATAAAATTTTTTCAAGGATATCAAAAAACAATGAAAAAAAAATAAATAGAAAAGAAAAGTAAAAAAGAAAAAAAAAAGAAACGAAGAACCGTTCAGAATGACTTACCAAAGGCGTCTCGTATGTTTTTTCTCTCTCGTGCGTCTCAAAATTTCACTTCTGTCTTCCTCGACATCTCTCAATTTCCAAGGCTGATTAAATGTGCGCGTAACCGAACACTCGATGAAAAAGAAATTAAATAAAGTGAACGATAGAATTCACTTAATTCGGAAACTAGGCGCACGTATTTTCTTTCATTACTCCGTTGCTTTTCGGTCGTTCGCGTTGGACCGAGACGAAAAAGTTGATACTACGAAAACTGAAGGACCCGCCTCGTGGGATGGCCAATCGCACTGTGTAATGTTTACCTCCTGGCCGAACCGAAGAGATACGGAAATCATCGATCATGGCCGAAGAGCGCACGCTCGTGCGGCCCGCTGTGTATCCCCTCTCTTCCCCTCTCGACCCCCTCCAAAATCGTAGCAACACCCTTCTCAACCCCGACCCTCTTCTCTTCTACCCTTGGTCCCACGTCTCGGCCCCAACGCTCAACCAACGGCGACGACCTATAATTTAGGGCGGATAAAGTGCTTCGTGCAGCACGTGGAGGCAGTCGTCGTGGTTTCTACCAAGACTCGGCGCGTGCGAGTTCGACCGACGAAGACCATCTCTACATGCGACAAGGACGAGCGCTATCAGTGTAGCACGTGTACATGTATATGTACTTGTACGCCTGTGTATGGCTTGAAGCATGCATACGCAATAACACATACTCATACTTCGTCGCAATATGGATCATCGAATTATGAACGAAAAAACGATTAGATTCTTCAATTTTGATAATATATTTAGAAAAATTTATAGTAATTTTTTTGTAAAATCATTAAATCTTACATTTTTTGTTTATATAGTTCGTAAGAATATCTAAAATGTAAGAAACAAAAGAAAATGAAGAATTAGGAAGAATGAAAGACGACGGATCTTTTGGAGAAGAAAAAAGTTAAAAAAAAACTTGAAAGAAGTTAAAAGAAGAAAACAATTTTTTGTATTTATCTCTCCTTCTCCTTCCTAAATGACTACTATAATCGTCTTATTACATTGCTACAACCGGGACGAGCGATCGATATCTTCCTTTCCTGCCTACCCTTGTGAACAAAGATCATCTTTTTTTGTTTCTCTCCTGTTTCATTTTCTAGTATACTCAAATATATTATTTCTATCTAATCGAGATATATCGAGATGATCTTTCAATGATTTGATTTGTATTTTTAAAATATTAATCTTTCTTATCGGGGAATAATTATGACAATTCGTGTTTGATCGAATCAAATTTCAGTAAGTGGAAAAGAGAATAACTTATTATTGTGAAAGTATTAATATGTTTCACATAAACAAAAGAATTTGTGATTACGAGTCTAACGCATGCTGATACTTTTTGAAATTGAATAACTTTTTCTAATGACATATCTTCTTTCTAATCATTGCACTGTGCATATAGTCCTATGGTCAGTCGCATCATCGGCTACATTCATTGTATCCTCTTCGTTCATTCTTTTTTTCCATGGCCTATGATGATATCGTCCAATAGAAACGAGGTCGTGTGTATGTACGTTCGCTTTCTCCGCTATTTACACGAGCGCGTGCCTTTCTTCTCCCGTTTTCGGTCGTTACACTCCTTTGCATTCGTTGATTCCTTTTCGAACTTGAAACGGATATCAACGTACATTCTTGTTAAGAAATACATTTTTTCTCGTAAGTATATCGTGCCAAACATACGTTCATTTTTTTTCTTTATTGCTTTAATGTTATGACAATTATTAGAAATCGAAATTTAATTTTAATGACTTCATTTAAAAATATTTTTATACGAATTCTTTTGTGACATTTGTAAAATTACAGGTTCTTCAACACGCATTGGTGATCGATAACGAGTATACGCGTATTCACACATGCATGCAATTCGTATAATTATTAAACTACAAAATTATATAAATTGTTATTATAGTTTGTTTACTGTGTTAGATAGTATTTGCTTTATTTTGATATTACTACAATTTGCCATATATATATATATATATATATGAATTTATCCAAGATTGATTACTTGGGCAAATATACGTATATAATATTTCGGATTGAATATAATCGACATACTCGAAGTTCCAACAACACGTATTAGAGAGAAGATGTAATTATGATGTATAACGATTATGACCGTCAGAGAAGGAAAATACCGTATTGTTCTAGAACACCTATAAATAAACATTATCTTTGATTATGGTTGATCACATGTTTAAAGTTTCTCCCTACCTTCTTTTCGAAAAGAACAAAAACTAATATTTTTTTGCCTTCAGATAAAATTCAAGTCTTATTCGTAACCTGCGTGAGACTGCGTGAGACTGCGTCTGGACCTACCTTATATTTCGTCATTCCTTTTTTATATGAGGTAACTTTCGTTTCAGATTCTAATAATAAAACGCGAGAGAATTTTATTAGTCGATCTTCTGAAAGGGGAGGTCAAAGACTTGTAAGATTGTTATACGTGGCCAACATGTGAAACACAAAATTAAAAGGACAAGGATCTTAAGGGAAAAGAGAAACAAGGGAACAAAGATCGTCATAAATTTAATCGAAATTATTCAAACGTATATCTATGTATAAAATGTATATATATATATATATATATATATATATATATATATATATATATATTAATATTTGAAACATAATATATTTATATATTACATTAGGAAAAAAAATATATATAAGCATCTCTCTCTTTCTTTCTCATTCTTATATAAACAATTAAATAAGTAAATATTATATATATATATATATATAATATAATATAAATATATTTTTTAAATTTATTTTTTGGTAATTATTATTTCGTTCCGAAGGATATAGCCAAATTTCCTTTCTTCGGTTTGGTCGAGTGAGCCTCGGACAAGTGCCGGTGTAACCGATGTTGCTTTCAAACGAGAGAGGAGCAATGACCTAGTGCGCGTAGTGCACGTGTAGCGTCTGGAAACCCCGACGACTGCCTCAGAGTCAGGGCATTGGTCGCCGCGTGCGGGTGACGCCGATCTGTGCCGTCGCTCGTGCCGCCTATAGCTACGAACTACGTATATATATACATGTATTAGATATATATGTATATAGATATATGTGTATATATATATTTATATATATATATGATATATATATATATATATATATATATATATATATATATATGATATATATACACAGACACATTAATATCCTTATTCGTATATGTTAGTAAAACGAAGAGCTTGTGTACGCCCCTGCTTACCGATAATGCCACGCTCCTAAAGGATATATACGTATACGTGTACGGTGATGGTTGGGTTATCCTCCGGACACGCCTACGACATCCTAAATTGAGTACTTTTAGAAAGTACAAAAAAAAGAAAAGAAATACACGCATACATTTATAAAATTCTATAATTTTTTTATTTTCATTTATTTATTTCGAGACGTCTTTTTACGTTTTGAGTTGTCATTTCATGAAAGTGGTTTATTTTTTTTGAGGGTGGCCTCGATTGATCTTTAGACACCACTGCGAATGTATTTGTGAAGATAGATATATACATATGTATAGTGAAGGTACAAAAATATGCTGATGCTTTTTAAAATTGAATAATTTTTTTTAAATCGAACAAAAAAAAGAGAACTCTGAACTTTCGTATAGTTATCAAAAAATTAGAAATATATTAATAACTTCGAAATAGTAATATAGTTTTGTAATTTGGAAAAATGTTTACGACCACAGTAGTCATGTTGTGTTTTACGATATGATAGCATACATAATATAATAACGATTTTATAGATCTTCGAATAGACGTAAATTTGCCTAAGATTTATTGATTTTGATAATATTTATAGGAAGCAATTCGATTTTCATAACGTATACTTTAATAAATAATTTTAATGAATACTTATATGAAGGAATTATTTTTTTTTTTGTAATCGTAATATGATGAATTTTATTTATATCGTAAAAAAAGAAATGATTCGATTAAAAAGAATATTCAAATATTTTTGTGATTCAATCTAAATGTAGATAGAATGAGAGAATCGTAGCTGGATGATTATTCGTTAAACAGAGCAGACACGTGTCCAGAGAATCCAGCGTTCGATCGAAATGTATTTGTAAAGAGAGAACGAATAGGTTAATTCATCGGGAGTTATCTCAGTTTTGAGAATAACATGTTTTCCAAGCTTCTATCTGTTATCCGTAGCATTATTATATTCGATGAAATCATCAAATAGGCCGGTGGTTCCATGAGTCCTTGATTCGACCCTGCGTAATGCGTAGAAATATTCGGCAGGAGTGGCGCACATTGACAAGTTTTGTGCGTAGTATCCTGACACGTCATGTGGTCCTGAGGTCGATAAACGTCTAATGCGTTTTATTCAATCTCTTTGTTGTAACGAAATTTCACATTTCTTATTTTTACATCGTTATTTTAATATATCCACAGTCAATATTTATAGAAATATAGATCATATAGATGATCTACATTGGAATATTTATTTTTATATATTAATAAAAAAAAAATACAAATGTTTATAAATAGTTTCTATTAAGTATACTAACAAAAATATTTCTATTATATTTATTCTATTTAATAAAATTTTACAATATAATATATATATATATATACATATATATATACATATATATATATACATATACATATATATATATACATACATATATATATATACATGTATATACATACATATATACATATATATACATACATATATATATATATATATATATATATATATATATATCGAGCAGAACGTGGCACGAAGGAAATTTTTTCAATGGTTTGAAGGTTTGGCAAGGTTCTCTTGTGCGTTCCGAGGCTACAAGAGGAGAGATTGCCAACAAGCGCCGAAAGAGAGGAAAAAGTAAGGGGTTAGGGAGAAGAAGGATGTAGAGAGGTGACGTGAACGTATAAGCGCGTGCTCGCGCGCGCGCTTGTCGAGAGAAGAACCAGCTAGGAGTTGGCCGCTCTCGAACCCGAAAGAGAAGAGGGTTGGAAGTGGAAGGGGAGCGAGAGCGAGTCTAGAGCGCGATGTCGTACCTTGACCAATCTCAACAAGACTTGTTTTAAGCTATGCCAAGCCAAGCGACGACCTTAGAAACGACTCGCTGATCGCATCGAAACCGAAATGGCAAATGGAAAGAAGAAGAGGAGTGACTCTTCTTCTCTTTCTTTTTCTTTTACAAAGAATCACTTGGTTTCTTTTTATTTTTTTTTCTATTTTTCTTATTGAACTATTCTAACATCGACTCGAAAGTAACGGCAGAAATAAATTCTTTTTTTTTCAGACAAATTAAGCATTATTTAAATGTGTTATTGAATTATTCACGAAATGTAAACGAGGATTTATTACAATTATAGAATTTCTAAGTATATAATCAGCGTTTTATATTCTTTTTGTATATATTATGTATTAGAAATACACACGTGTGACTTTACTGTGATGAGGTAAGTTCGAAACGGATAATAGGATGAGCTGGAGAAAGCTAGATGAGGCTTAACGAACATTTGGCCTTGAAGAATCCCTCTGTCATCTGCATCGAATGTCAAATACCGTGGCACGTGGGCCGAGAGGTAGTTGACCTTTAAATCCTCTCTTTTTGCCCTTTCTATACAACAAAGATGAAAGCACTCTAAAGTTTGACCTGCTTTTGTAAGGATACATTTTATACTTTTTCTAGTTATTATCGAGTTTCTCATATACGGATGTAATACATAGTTATTAAGATTTATCGATCATTTTTCTTAGTGTTTTTTTACTATCAGCTATTGATTTATCATCTCGAGAATATTTTTAAACAGATACGATGACTAGTAGTTCATTCGATATTTAAAAGCATCGCATTATTGACTTCCTGCGATAGGTCGTGTAGCGTTAATTTCATTAACATTTCGTGCATGTTAACAGTTTTATATGCATTATATGTATAAGGTGGATCAATGTAAGGGTAATGAATTGACGTGACTTCTTGTATGTTAAATTTCTCGTATGGTTACGCATATAGGATATATTTTTAATTTACAAATCGTGAAGGGGAATCATTGGAATTCTCTTGCTTCAGTATTAATTTGTTTTTAAGACGGTTCGCAAGTTCTTATTAACACTTCTTGGCACATTCACTTCGTGTACTTCAAAGTAACGAACATTTTAATATATCTAATCAATTCTTCTCACAATTTTTCGAAATTTTATAATTTTATATACACATAAAATCATGTATTACAATATAAATCGTCACTTCAAATACATTTGTTATGCTTTTAATTCAACGTTTAAAAAATGTAAGTATCTACTTAAATCAAATATATTTACACATCATATACAGTATATTTTTCACATTATTTTCATCTTGTAACGAGTTATTTCATCAGAATCAAAAGATAATATCCATTTTTTTTTATATAATATAAAATACAACATAATTTCATTAAATATGATTCTAATAATAAATTGAACGACAATGAAGAGAAACTCATAACGTAGAACTAAACTAGCGTATTATATATCTGAAATTATCTTGACTCTTATAAGACGTAGAGATTAAATAAACGGGGAATTTCCTATTACCCATAGATAACCGATAGAAACGTAAACATTGAAAACTTCGTGAATCGCATATGTTGTATTGATCGTGATAAAAATATATGATAAACTCGCTTATAACTGACTGTTTTTTTAAGCATTTAATAGAAGAAATGTTAGTATGGTAACTACAGATAAACAAATAGAGATGCCAGCTTTTCAACATACACCATCCGTTTATACGGTATGTATGTAACATATATATATATATATATATATATATATATATATATATATATCTATTTGTAAAAATTATGTACATGTATAATATTATAACTTATTTTTCTTTTCCTTTTATTTTTTTTAAATATGAAGGGTCCAAGTTACGATAGTTTAAAAACAGCATACGAGTCGAACATATCACCTAGTTTAAAAATGTATTATAAAAGGCCATTATTATTATATGAAGGACGGAATCAATGGCTATGGGGTCATGATGGTAAACGATATTTAGATATGTTCGGTGGCGTTGTTACCGTTTCTATAGGCCATTGTCACCCGTAAGCAATTATATAATGATTCTATATCTATAATTATTAAATGAACAATTATCGAAATATATATATTTTTATATATTATTTATATATATTTTATTATATATATTATTTATATATTTATATATATGTAACTATATAATAGTCTGTACAAATTTCGGGAATAAGTTCCGGGAACCTAAGTAAGTAGAAAATATCTTATGAACATGGGGTTGGAAACGCTTGCTTCTAAAGTTAAGACGATTCGAAATTTTCTCGCAACGGCCGAAGAAATTATCATGATAAATTGCCAAACTTTTTTATTCTAAATCCTTCGTGATTTTCTTAATCTTCCTTTAACATTCATTATATGAAAAAAAAAACAGTTTTTAACTCTTATGAGATTTGACGTGATAATTTTTTTAGTCATTGCAGGAAGAGATCAAATTATAACTCCGAAAGCAAACGTTTTCGA